AAAAAAAAACGAAAAAACGACATAGTTTGGGAGCTCGATATCTCTGTGTGCCGAACGCCGCTGCCCTCCTGAAATGATAACCAAAGAGAGGAAATACAGAGGACAAGCGTGGAATTCACAAGGGTGAAATTGAACGTGCGAGAGAAATACGTTTGTTAACTACGGAGAGAGCTAATTTTATCTATCTAAGAGATAGAGATCTCTTCCATGCGTCACTTGATCACTGCTGAAAGCTTTCACGTTCTTCGTCGTCTGAAAAACGCTTTTCTACCGAATACGGCGTTTGCACACAGAGACTTCCTATCGGCGAAAAAATCTATCGGCTTGCGTTTAGAGATACACTTCTAAACACCTGATCTTTGCCTGACCTTCGTCGCGTCTCTGTATCGAACGTGTCTGACGTGTCGCTTGTTTGGGAATCCCATTTTGACGAAGCAATTGACGCCTGCCTGTCAAAGTGAGCTTTCGGACTATAACGCGTGAAAGTTTCGTGAACTGCAACCTTTCAGCGTTGTTTCTTCCTCTATTTTGCAGCCTGTGGAACGCCTATGAAACCGATGCCCCCGACGAAACTGGTACAGGAACAGCTTCAGAATGCAGCGAAGGCGCAGGCGGCGGCGCAGGCCGCGGCTCAAGCGGCGGCACAACATCAACAGGAGAACCAAATGCAGCTTGGCCCGCCTCAACAGAGTCCTCAGCAACATCCTCAGCACCCTCAGCCACCGCCGCCGATGATGCTGACACCGCCTGGCCCTCATCATCCTCACTCTCAGCTCAGCATGCAGGAGCTGCAGAAGAAGCAGCAGCAGCAACAGCAACAGCAGATGAACCTCCATTCCCCGCATCACCAAATGAACCCATCGCCACTCCGTAGTCTCCACCCGCACATTTCGCCGAGCGTGTACGAGATGGCCGCGTTGACGCAAGACCTCGACACGCAGACGATCACGACGAAGATCAAGGAGGCGTTGCTGGCCAACAACATCGGTCAGAAGATCTTCGGCGAGGCTGTGCTCGGACTGTCGCAGGGCTCGGTCAGCGAGTTGCTCAGCAAACCAAAGCCGTGGCACATGTTGAGCATAAAGGGCAGGGAGCCGTTTATAAGGATGCAGCTGTGGCTGTCCGACGCGCACAACGTGGATCGGCTGCAGGCGTTGAAGAACGAGCGCAGAGAGGCGAACAAGAGGAGGCGTAGCAGCGGACCGGGTCACGACAACAGTTCCGACACGTCGAGCAACGACACGGCCGAGTTCTACCACGCGGCCTCGCCTGGACCGGGGCCAGCCTCCGCCAAGAAGCAGAGGGTTCTCTTCTCCGAAGAGCAGAAGGAAGCTCTGAGGCTGGCGTTCGCGCTCGATCCGTATCCGAACGTGGCAACCATCGAGTTTCTCGCCGGTGAACTCGCGTTGTCCTCGCGAACGATAACCAACTGGTTTCACAATCATCGGATGAGACTGAAGCAACAGACGCCGCACGGCCAGCCGGAGCCTCAATCGCCGAGAGAGCCTGGCCAACCGTTCGACCCGGTTCAATTCAGATTGCTGTTAAACCAAAGACTGTTGGAGATCCAGAAGGAGAGACTAGGCTTGGGCAACGTGCCTCTGCCTTACACGCCGTACTTCAACCCGAACCTGGCTGCCTTAGTAGGGAACGCGCTCAAGGAACAGTGTTCCGGTTTGGACCTCTCCATGAACGCGTTGAAACGGGAGCCGAATCAAGAGTTCGAGGACGAGGACGTGGAGGACGCAATGAGCAATCTCGGTAGCGAGGACTCGGAGGGATCGGCGGGTAGTATAAAGAGAGAACCCGCGGAAACGCCCACGGCGCCGGCCACCGTCAGATCGAACAGAAGAAAACCGGCAGCGCCGCAGTGGGTGAACCCCGAGTGGCAGGAACCGGCCAGAACGGGGGACGAGGTGATCATCAACGGTGTCTGCGTGATGCAAACGGACGATTACGGCGTGAAGAGAGAAGCCGAGGAAACGATCAGGGTGGAACCGACTCCGGTGCAGGACAGATACGAGGAAGACGCGCAAAGCGACGTGTCCTCTGTTTCTGGAAACAACGGCCAGGACCGGGACAGCCCTCTGCCGAGTCCAAAGTCTGGACAGAACAGCCCGGTGACCTCGCCTAGGCCACCGTCGACGCAGCAAACGCAACAGTCGACCGAGGAGAGCCCCAAGGAGACCGTGGTGAAACACGAGCCCGAGGAAACGTGGGATTATTAAGGAACTCTTTGTCTCTCTTGTCGTGATATCGTTATTTTCACAGGATCAAAAGGGGGAACACTGAAAGAGTGAGGTTGACACGTTTGTCGAAACATGCCAAAACGATGCTGCGAATCGCTATACGGTCCGCGTGTCCGCGAGAACCACGGCCTAGTTAAGTTCTTGTAGAGAGGACGGGGAAAAAAACGAAAAAAAAAAAAAAAAGAAACGCAAAAACCAGTCATAGGATTCGACCAGGCCTGGTTGGTCGATTCCTGCCTACCACGAGGGCATTATCAATAGGGAGGCAA